TCTCAACCCAGAATACTCTGGATAAAGAGACAATCTTGTCTTACTTCCAAGACTGGCAAAAGCTAGAAAACCAGGGACATGCCGCCCTCCCTGCAGAGGCTGGGATGCAAAGGTCGTAGGGGCACCCATGGTTGGCCCCTTTGTGGGTCTGGGCACCCACGTGGCCAGTCTCCATCTCAAGGTCTGCCGGTGCCTCACTCAGAATCATCCCTGAAACTCCTACCAGGAGACTGAAGTACACAAAGCCGTATTATGGGGAGCCTTGTGGACAGATTATAAATTTTCTGGGACAATCAAGGCATTTAGTTACTTTTGGCTGCAGATACCAGTGACACACACATAATTATAAACCTCATTCTTCTCATCACTCCAGCCGTTCTTTACCCTCCTTCTTCTCCCAACCCTCCCTCTGTCCCAACTGCTCTGCTGGGGACGTCTAGGGAGAATCTGGGGTGGAGAAGGTGGAAGGAAAGGAAGTAGGTCTGGAAGCCCAGCGCAGCCCCTTGGGCTCCCTGCGGTCACGGTCAAAGCAGCACACTGGGCAACTTGGCGAGGGTAGGCATTTCTCAGACAGACGGATGGAGGAAGAGAAGAGAAATACCTTGGAGCTCAGAGCTTCCCAAACTTGACCACCAGGGACTCAGGGCAGGAATGAGAAGAGTTAGAAAGAAGCACCCTAGGACCTGGCTGTCCATAGGCCCTTCATTTCCTTGGGAGGAGGGGTTGGCCACAGTGCCATCCTTCATTTGGGCAGCTACAGAACTTCGGGAGCCCTGTGGATCTCCTAGGGGATGTCCACAGCCCTGCACCGCAGGGCTCTACTTCTACCCACAGGCCTTAGGCTCAGCAGCTTGGAGGAAACCAGCAACACCAGGCAGATGGTCGCCTGACCAGGACTGGCACCAAGAATCAATGATTCAAGGGAGACTCCCTCTGAGTGGGTTGTGCCTGTGTCTCTGAGGAGGCAGCTCCAGTCAGAAACTTAGTCAGAGCCTGGGGTTGTGTTTGCTGTCACCAGGAGTGGCTGGAGACACGGTGTTGCCTGGGGTGCTGTTGGTCTGGATGGCGCCGAGGGCCTGCCCTCACGGTGGGGTCAGCACTTTTGGAGTGTCTAGAAACCACACTGGCCGTGGTGACCAACATCCATCCATGGGAGCCCAGGGAGCAGGCCTCTGAAGGAACATCCTCACTGCCTTTGGGAACTTGGTCTGCAGCTCTCAGTGGCATTTACACATTTACCTTCTCAACCGTCCAGCAAGAAGGGGCTCAAAGGTGGGAGGGGCCCAGGGCGGGAGGAAGTGGCTTTGATAGCGGTCAGCTGGGCTGATGGATGCTGTCAGGCCAGCTGGGCCCAATCAGAGATGGTGAGCCAAAGTGAAGGAGCCTCAGCCTAGGATCTTCCAAAAATACACCCAACAAAGCAAAACAAGCCGGGGCCCCCCGGAAGTCCTAGAACTCAGCTTTGTATACGCCGAGGATGAGGAATACCACTCGGAGGATAACCTAGATGTCAGCGCCTGCGGGCCTTGGCCAGGGAGGCGAGCGGAGCGCTCGACATCACCACTGGCTCCTGAGGTCCCCGGTGTCCTGTGGCCCCCTGGCTGCCACGTCCCCCACGTGGGCCACGGCGACCTCTACCACCCTAAAGGCCACACAACCAGAGCAAGAGCCAGGAGAAACGCAGGGGCCTTACCGCCATCAGGGCTGAGTTCCGCTGGTCCCCCGAGGTCGAAGCTGGCCGCTGCTGCTGGTCGCCATTAATCCCAAGGCCGCCACCGCTGTTGCCGCCGTGGAGCGGGTGCTGCTGGCGACGGAGGTGGTCGGGCGCGGGGCCCGGG